GTGTGTGTGTGTGTATGTGACAGAGAGAGAGAGAGAGAGAGAAGAGGAACAAAAAGGAAACCATGAAAAATGATGGCCTGGGAATCACACATACATCTGTACTCCCAGTGATTCCAGAGATTGAGGCAGAAGGATCGCAAATTTGATGCCAGCCTTTGTAAGACCCTGTCTCAAATTTAAAAATAAGGAGAGCGGAGGATGTGGCTCAGTGGTAAAGTGCCCTTGGGTTCAATCCTCAGTACAATAAGTAAATAATAAGGCTGGGGAATCTATCCCAGTAATAGAATATCCTGGGGTTAAATCTCTGGGACCATTAAAAAAAAAATCCAAATACAGTTGTCAATTCCTTAATCTACACACTTGCATCAACATTTTGCAATACTCTCTTTGCACTTTAGGTCTATTATGGTTTACAAAGTAAACTGAGTTAGAATTAAAGAAGATAGCTTAATACTGGATTAATTTTTTTCCTGTAAATTTTAATCATAGTTTTTCCACTTATTATAATAGATGAGAGGAAGGATAAGAATTCAGAATGAATTTCTTCCCATGTTAAGCAAATTCTGATCCAGTTTCTGAAGCTTCTATTATACCCTGTGGGCAGAGAGTAATCTCTCTGGGTTAGAATACAAATGTATTTCAAAACTAAAATCATATTCTAATATTAGCTGAATATAAATGTGCTATGGATAAATCTGTAATTCCTCAAGGACATATGAAATGTATAGCAGAGTTATGAGAAGTAGGACTATTTCATGAGTAGGTCCATAGTAAAATCATTTTTATTTCATCAAAATGTTAACTGTTTTGCTAGTAATCATGAAAATTATGCTTTTGTTTTAAATCTATATGAAAATGATTTTAAATTGAAGACTATGCCTTGAAGTTAGGTTTTCATATTCAATAATTCCAAAGTAGTTAAGTCAAAAAGCTATTGTTTGGGGGACTGAGTTGTGGCTCAGTGGTAGAGCGCTTGCCTATCATGTGTGAGGCACTGAGTTCGATTCTTAGCAACACATATAAATAAATAAAATAAAGGTCCATCAACAACTAAAAAATATTTTTTAAAAAATCTATTGTTTATAATGAAGATCAGTTGTCTTTATATGATAGTAGTGTCAGTTAATCACAATGACAATCAACCACAAAAATGACCTCATATATTCTTAAAAGAGAACATAAACATGTAAATATCCATTTATTACATTTTATTACTTAAAAATCCATTGATCACATTTTATTTACTTAAAATTTTATTTATTACATTTTATTTTCAAACTAATTAGTTGTTTCACCCCATGCCAGTGAGATTAGAGAAATGCCCCTCCTCAAAGAAATATTAGTGAAATTTGCTGCTAAAAAAATAGGGAAAACTGGAGAGCAGGCTTCTAATCTCTAAATGTACCATTTGTTTTCCTCACTAGCATATAAAAGTGTATTCTGGACAAATTGAGCTGTTCAGAAAAATGTATGGACTCTCAGCCTTTTCGACTGAAAACAGGGCTTCAGATCCCTCAGTAATTCTTATTTTAGAGAGATTAAAGTCTCCAGTTAATAAAGCACAGAATTTGAGGGCAGAATAGATATGGGAGGTTCAGATCCAGAGCTCTTATTTGTAAAGAAGAGTTTAAACCTGGCAGCGTGCAAGCAGTCTGTCCTGGGCTGCAGAGTACTCTGGGGTTAGGGTCCCTGCAGCCCAACCTCACATCAGCCCTGCCACCCTGGGTCATCCCAGTGCACGTGTAGCCCATCCCTTCCCCTGGTCTCCCCTATAAGTCTACCCAGTAATGTACCAGCTTTTAGATTTACAGTTCACTTGATCTACCTGTTCTCTCATCAACACCCCTAACCCCTGAGCGCAAGAAGAAACCTTTGTATCCCCAGGACTTGGCACAACACCTGACATATACTAGAATGTTATGAGGGCAAAATAGTGTCCAACAGACTAACTGCTGCCCAAAGGGGGGGGGGAAGAGGGGACAAATGAAAAGATGGATGAGAACCTAGAAAGGGGAGAGATTATCTTCTTATGCAAGTTATCCACGGGAAGTGAAAAGAATCTCCCTGGAGCAAAAACCAAGGAAAGGTGAGTGTTTACCACTTGCTGAAACAAAGTAATAAACTTGTTCCCTGGTAATAAACTCGAGGAAGCCGATTTGACACCAGATTCTGCTAAACTAGACGTCTAACTGTCCTTAAAGGTAAACTTCATCTTTGAAGTAAAACAATTGTCAAAGCTGATTAGGCCATATCGAGGGGCAACAGATACTCTTATTTTCCCGAGACTAAGAGATCCCGGAGGTGACGAGTCGGCGATAATGAGAAGAAGCGAGGAGAGAGGCCTAGGGAAGCAGGACCCTGCCCGCGGCAGCTCGAAGTCACGACCTTCCCCGCGAGGGGGAGCGGGGCACGCCGCGAGGAGCGCAGTTCGCATTACCTTTCGCCGCCGCGGGCGGAGGAGCGGCGGCCCCGGCGGCATGCCCGAGTCCCGCCAGTAACTCGGCGGGCCTCACTTTAGGGGCAGCCGTACCCCGCCTTGCTCCGGAGCACCGAGGCTACAGCTGTTTGGCGCGGTCGCCAAGGAGACGGCGCGGGGCATGCTGGGAAGTCGGGGCGAGGCTTTCACCCAGGCGGAAGTGCTCGCGGACCCAAATAGGTGTGTGTGGGGTTCGGGGAAGACCTGCTGGCCGAGCTTCCCAGCTAAACAGCAGCCGTTTCTAAATATACGTCCCAACCTTCTTTAGCAATTGAGCATCTCTGGGCCCGAGAAGCACCTTCGCCTCCCGACCGCCTAGTCTGGCACCCTGGTCTTCACCGAACTGGACTTCCTGGTGACGCCACACCGGAGACTTCCGGTTGCCGGCCTTGGAGTTAAACTGCCTAACGCGGGGGCTGCTAGTCCCCTGGGTTCCTGCGGGATTCTGATGGAGGAGCTACTCCTCTGCGAGGACACAGCAGGTGGGCTCCGCTGCTGGTCGGGGCAGGTTGTGAAGACCGAGGTGGCGCGGCGCACCAAGGCCTATATTTGAAGAATTAGACCTTTTGAGCACCATTTGCTACCCAGTTGGCATTTGCTGAACAACTACTTCGTGCACGGCCCTCTAATGGGCTTAGAGCGAGTCAACAAGATCTGTATTCGCAGACGCTTTACACGACAGACTATAAAGAAACTGGAACTATATAGGATGAGGTGCTGAGAAATGAACAAGACTGGGACTAGGCTGAGGTGAGTCAAGGGCAAAATATAAATGGATGTCAAAAAATTTAGTGATCAAGATAATAAATAAACTTTAATGCAGTATCTCTAAAAACCAAAATGCATTGTTGACAAAATGCAGGGTTTTAAATAAAGGCAGGATTGGTCATAATACTGAGCCATAGTGAACCCTGAAACTAAAAGAAAACAAACAGTAATACTAATTCTGTAAGTTGTTACCCAAGTAGGGAAGATAAACTGCTTCAGATATATGCATGATAAGATAAAAAAGAGTTTCCAGATGGAATGATCTGGTAGTTGGATTCCTAGAGACAGGAAGCAGTAGTTTTCCTTACCAATTTAGAAGGGCCCACAAGCCCAGGACCTGAAAGAAGTTCCTAAATGCTGATTATCAATAAAAAAGAAAAACTAGATGACTATCATGGGTCCTGCACACTTGAGTTTACTGAAATCCAGTGCTTTCTGATTATTTTTATGAGATTGATAAGGATATCATTTTTGTAGCTTAGCACTTTTTATTTTGCCCCACAAAAGTCCATAGAACTTACATTCTGGTGTATCCATAATGGATTTTAGGTGATTTTCCTTTAGAATCATCAGCAGTCTCTCTCTGTGTCCAAAGATTAAAACCCATGGAATCATTGAATTGTGCCTTATCTCACACAGGAAAACAAAAGTGCTCAGCTAATATTGCCTGAGGAACTAGGTAAGAATTCAGAGATGGTGACTACCAACATGTTCCATCTAAAGAACATTTTATAACATTTGCTACTTATTGATTTAATGGGGCTGAGAGCCATGATTTGAAAATGTGTTCCATTGTTTTAAACAGGCAGTTCTTCAGGCTGTCATCATGGGTATCCGAGGACTAATGAGTTTCGTGGAAGATCACAGTAATGAGTTCTTCACTGATTTGAAGTTGCGGGACACAAAAATTATCATTGATGGCTATGCTCTTTTCCACCGACTTTGCTTCAATTCAAATTTGGAGCTTCGGTATGGAGGGGACTATGATTCTTTTGCAGAAGTTGTAGAAAACTTCTTTGAATCACTGTTTGCTTGTAATATATGCCCGTATGTTGTATTAGATGGAGGATGTGACATTTCAGATAAAAAGCTTATAACTTTAAAGGATCGAGCTAGAGAGAAGATTCAGATGGCCCATTCCCTATCTATTGGTGGGGGTGGGTGTGTGTGTCCCTTACTCATCCGTGAAGTGTTCCTACAGGTTTTGATCAAGCTGCAAGTATGTTTTGTCCAGTGCTTTTCAGAAGCAGATCGGGATATTATGACACTTGCCAATCATTGGAATTGCCCTGTGTTATCATCAGATAGTGACTTTTGCATTTTTGACCTGAAAACAGGGTTTTGTCCATTGAATGGCTTCCAGTGGAGAAATTTGAACACTATTAAAGGCACACAAAACTACTATATTCCTGCCAAATGCTTTTCCCTTGATGCACTCTGCCATTACTTCAGCAATATGAACAAAGCTCTACTACCTCTCTTCGCAGTACTGTGTGGGAATGACCATATTAATCTGCCCATCATAGAGACATTCTTAAGTAAAGTACGCCTTCCTCTTAGAGCTACTAGTTCTAAGGGAAGGAGACACCACCGAGTTCTGGGACTTCTGAACTGGTTGTCTCATTTTGCTGACCCCACCGAAGCACTAGATAATGTTCTGAAATACCTCCCAAAAAAGGATCGAGAAAATGTTAAGGAACTTCTCTGCTGTTCCATGGAGGAATACCAGCAGTCCCAGGTGAAGTTGCAGGACTTCTTCCAAAATGGTACTTATGTTTGTCCAGATGCCTTGAATCTCGGTTTACCAGAATGGGTACTAGTGGCTTTATCCAAAGGCCAGCTGTCTCCTTTCATCAGTGATGCTCTGGTGCTAAGACGGACCATTCTTCAAACACAGGTAGAAAACATGCAGAGACCAAATGCCCACAAAATATCTCAGCCCATCCGGCAAGTTATCTATGGGCTTCTTTTAAATTCTTTGTCACATGTAGAAAACATGTCCTGGAGTGCCTTGCCTCATCAGTCTCTAGCTTTCAGTGAAGTAGAAAGGATTCATCAAAACATCAAAACATCAATTGTTCATGCAGTAGAACTGCCTAAAGATCATGCTGATTTGAGCAAATTGACCAAGGTAAGTATAATACTAATGAAATTTTAATTAATCACTTTACTGTGCCATTACATGTATCATTTCTCTTAACATGATAAACTGAGGTTAGTTGCTATCTTGCCTTCATTTCATAGATGAGGAAAGTAGAACTCAAGTGAACTAGGTAATATTTTAGCCAGAGGGTCATTTCGAAGACTCAGACTTAACACTTCTTAACTCTAAATCTGTCATTTCCACAGTGTTTTCTTTACAATTATTACTACTGTATTGATAGCAGCTAGCAATAGAATGGGGTTATGTGGCTTTAAAAAAATAACAAAAAATTCTGAACTACAGAAATAAAGTATACATATAGGCACTTGATATTGGTATAATATCTAATACTACATCAGGTTTCGATTAATATTAGTACTGATGGGTGGGTCTGATGTTTTTTATTGACGAGGACCTTTTTTTTAGGCTTCAGGTTTACACATCATAGTGTCTTGTTTGGTTTGATACCCACGATTCTCAGCCTCACTTGGCATTGCTTAACCTGGGTAACACTCAAATCAATCCCTTTTTTAAGGGCAAAATGTTCTTAAGAATCCCAGTGTTGCCTTCATTTTTTATATTATTTAATTATATTAAAAATTATAAAATAAAACTGTTTATGTTTGCAGTTAAACTTACAAATTAAATGCAGATAAGCCTCCCACAACAAAGAATAATCTGGCCTCATAGACCCATTGATGCAGTTCCTGGCCTACACCATTGTTTAGGAACTAGCCTCTTAAGCCTCCCAGTGGTGACATCTCAAGAATGAGGAAAAAGGATTCATATTAAATGGGTGTAAGGACCTCTTTGACATTAGGGACTGCTAATAGGAACAGGGTTTCTTTTGGGAGTGCTGAAAATGATCTGGAATTGCCAATGGTTGTAGACACCTTGTAAATATACAAAACTGTTAAATTGAATACTTTTTAAGGGTAAATTTTATGACATGTGTATTATATTTTGAAGAGTTGCTTTTAAACCACCTTCTCCAGAGGATCTAATCTTTCTCATGATAATTCCATAGACAAAGCTTCTGGGGTCCCTTCAAGGGCCATGCCTAATTATAAATTACTGTACTCAGAGAAGCCCCAAGATGTGGTGTCCACATTATGTGATATAGTTCATTTATAGATCAGACCTAGATGCAGTTTTATGTCATTTTTATCATGTTTAGTAATAAAACTGACAATCAATAGCATTTTCATTGTTACAGAACTAGAAAGTTGAGCATAAGTCATGTTCTCAAACAAGTAATTAAAACTCTACCCATATCAATAAAATTCAAATTAGCAATTGTTATGGTTTGGATATGAGGTATACCTCAAAAGCTCCTGAGTTAATGCAAGAATGTTTGAAAATGAACATCCAAGTTTGAATGGGTAATTGTGGGCTGGTGGAGCATGATGGAAGGAGGTGGGTCATTAGGGTCATACTCTGGAAGGGTGAGTTCATCTTTTCTCTATCCCTTCTCTTCTGCTTCCTGGCCACCATGAATGGAGCAGTGGTTCTCTGCCACAACATTCTGCCATGATGTCCTGTCTCTCACCATGGACTCAGAGCAGCGGACTTGACTGATCATGGACTGTAGCTCTGGAACCATGAGCCAAAATAAAATTTTCCTTCTTTAAGTTGCTCTCATCAGGTCATAAAGGTCACAGCATCATAAAGCTAACACAAAAGTATTCTAAAGAATGATATTTTGCTGAAGATCAATTTCTATCCAAACATAAATAGTACCTTGGAGTTTTGCAATTTTTAAACTTTTTAAATGACTTTACTGAAAAATAAATGTACAATGAGGTGCACATATCTAAAGTGTGCACTTTGATGAAGATTGACATGTTCATATCTGTGAATCCATCCTACAATTTATGTGCCTACGACTTCTCTAAGAGTTTCCTCTGCCCCTTTGTAATTACTCCCTCCCTAGGTATATGCATATAGCAAAGTGCACAGATAGTCATACAGATGGATTTATTTTCACAAAATCGATACATCCATGCAAAGAAAACCCAAATGAATAATGACTATCACCACCCCAGAAGCTTTCCATAGAGTCTGGTTCCTGTCACCATCTCTTCCACCCTCTGTAATCTTTCTCCTGACCTTTTACCAATGCAATTGTACTCCATATAACTATGAAGGAATTCTTTCATCCTTAAATCAACATGTTTCACTGTGAAAAGCTATAGATCATTCATTTATCATTACTGTAAACATTGCATTGTGGAAACATACCACAATTGACTTTTCTGCTTTATTGGTGATGGGCATTGGGGCAGTTTCCAGTTTGAGCTATTTCAAATAGTACCATGAACATTCCAGTACACATGATTTAATGGACATATTTCTGTTTGCATATGTTACTACTAGGAACTTGCTGGGTTATACCCTCACACATGGAAGTTCAGCGTATAAGACGTATTACTATATAGCATTCCAATGCATTGTACCAACTAATATTCCCAACCAGAAGCATGAGTGTAACTCTTTCTTACACCCTTGGGACTATGTTTTTTCTTGCCCTTCACATTTTTTTTTTTTAAAGCTATTCTGGTGGTTGTGTAGTAGTATCATTTTAGCCAATTAGGTGAGTAATTTGTATTTCTTTGATGACTTGAGCACCTTTTCATGGGCTCATTACCTATCTGGATATTCTTTTGTTTTTTTTTTTGTTCAAATACTTTGCCTGTTTTTCTGTGGTTTTGCCTGCCAGTCCTTTGTCAAATACAGTATTTGCATCTATTCTGTCTTTTATATTTTAATGAGCAGGTCTTAATGTAGTCATTTAAATTTTTATTATTTATGGGATACCACTTTTGTGAGATACTTAAGAAATTCTTGCCTCTCAGAGGTCATGCAAATGGTTTTCTGCATTTCACATTTAGATCTATCATCTACAGAGCTCATTGTGTTTATGTGTGTTTGTGTGGTGTGAAACCAGTCAGGACACCCATAATTGAAATCGAACTGAATCAATGCATTAGAGCATGCTGGTCATATTCCTTGCCAAGTGAAATGACAAGTGTTCTTAAAACTTACCTGCACTCAGAGAAGGGTGAAATTTTAGTTCATTCTGTGCTCTTGGGTCATCTGGCTTTCTTTTAGCATAGAAATTAATTCTGTATTTATCTTGATGCCTTTGGCTCTGATTGGCCCTTGATAAATCTAAACCAGGTGCAAATATGATTCCAAGCACAAATGCAGGTACAAGTATTATTGTTTTTAACATGCTATATTAATAATACTTTATCTGCTTTGTGCCAGTTTTTGTGATAGAAACTTTACACAGTGTTTCATTTAATTTCCACAGAAACCACATGGGTTACCATGTTAGTTGTTAGCAGTGGACAGAACACCTCTCAAGTTAACAAAACAGGAGGTTGTTAATCACAAGGAAACATGGAAGTGGATCATTCTTGGTGTATGAGGCAATACCAAGATCAGCCTCTTTCTGGATACTTCTGCCTCTCCTGTGGCAGCTTCTGCACGCCTGTGCTTTCACTCCCCAAGGGAAAGGGAAAGGAGTTGTCACATGCAATAAAATCTAAGGAGCTTTAAAGGGCTGTGAGCACAGTAGTTTCCTTTTTGGAAGGCGCCAAGGACTGGTGAGTTCAATGATGATATCATTATAATGCCTACTTTACATATGATCAGACAAACTGTAGAAAATAACAAAAACTTGCCCAAAGCAAAGTTGAGTGCAGAATACCTCTGAAATCAAAGCCCATTCTTTGCTTTGTTCATAAAAGTTCTAACTTGGCTTGAGAATTGAGTAACTTAAGCATTATATGACAGAAAAGAATTAATGTAGTTCTGTGTGCTTTTCAAAGTTTGCGACATGTATTTTTATTTTACTTTAATTAATGCTACTTCTAGCAAGCATTATTGTTATACTGAAAGCACTTCATTCATATACTTCTAATTTTAAAAATTCTTACTACTTAGAATCATCATACTATTCAAAATCTCCGCGCATTGAAGATGAAACCATTTTGTCAGTTATGATGTTTTCAGATTAACTATTCCATTCTCAATTGTCAGCCACACTTAATACTGATAAAAAGTGTTAGATGCTAAGAAATGTACAAGACTATCTTGTCCTCCCAGAAAGAAAAAAATCTTTTCATGGCAGCATCCAGACACTAGGAGTACAATTATTTTCTTAAAGTTTGATTATAAAGTTCCCCTGAAAGATACCCTTTTAACAGTCTTAATGTCCTTATTAGTAAGAGTGTGACTTATAAGATCTTTTTCTCAAAGTCTTTTGAGATCAAGGTAAAAATTATTTCTACAAGAAGGTCAAAACCCTCATGGCTGTTAACTTCTGACTTTTTTGAAGTACACTCTATAAAGCATGAAAAAAGGGTGTGTTGTGTGTGTGTTATTGCAAGGACAGTGCAGTTCTGTCTCCCTTGTCCACCACTGGATAATCCCAGGATGGGAGAAAAGCAGACAATAAAACATTCAGCAGGCAAGGGACATGAGACAGGACTCAAACAGAAGGCTATATAACATTTGTCTTCTGTAGGTGATTAGGAATGGCATCATGGAGAAAGTGGCACCTAAATACCAGCAAGTAAGAGCAGGGTTGAATATTGATCTGTTTTTTAAAGCAGAATACCTGGACTACTTACTAGTTAAAAGTGCAGATTGCTGTGTTCACCAAATTACTCAGTCAAAGTAGGGGACAAGGTCTGAGGAACAAATTTCTAGCAGCCTTCCCAAGTGATGCATGTGCTTAGCAGCAGAGAGCACTGCATGTGCTTAGCAGCAGAGAGGCTGCAATAACAACAGACTTTTTAGAAGGAGCAGACCACACACCCATTTATGTATCTAATCAGTGTTTTCAATGTTTTGGGTATAGATGACTTTTTTCTCCTCAGAAATAAGTTCCACAGCTGACATTAAATCTCTTCTTGCTGTTAAAAAAGAAAATAGAGGGAAAAAAATTCCCCAAAGTAATTTGTAGGATGTTTGGTGTGTATTTTCAGGTCTCCTTCGTTAGGCGGCAGATGCTTCTGTTAGAAACCCTAAAGGTGAAACAGACCATCCTGGAGCCAATCCCTACTTCTCTTAAGTTGCCTATTGCTGTCAGTTGCTACTGGTTGCAGCACACAGAGGCCAAGGCAAAGCTACATCATCTACAAGCCCTTCTGTTGGGGATGCTGATGGGGCCTTTGCATGCCATAATCAACAGCCCTGGTAGGTATCTGGAAATTCCAGGTGCATGTCTTTGCATGTTGGTTACCAACTGTGTACACTCAAGAATTCACACAAATCCAAATTATTTACCCTTATGAATTACATCAGACTTAAAGGCACCAAAATGTCATTTATTCATTGGTAAATACTTCCGTGTGCTGTGCTTCCATGTGATGTGCCAGGGGCTTGACTCCCAAATATACAGCTGGTATGTGTTGACACTGCCTGATCCCACCCTGCAACCTGGCAGGCTCAGTGCCTTGCTGTTTGATAATTGGTAAAAGGTGGGCCTTTTTACTACTTTAAAGGCACCTAATGCTTTAGGGAAGGGTGACTGTGTTTTGCCAGTTGCATTTTGAGTCCATGCTTCTCACCCCATTTTTAATACAGCAACACCGTCACAGGAAGCTTAATTAAAATTACTGAAAGTCAAACTTCTGAATACCTACAACCACAGTAAATATTCATGTTTGTGCTTTAAAAAAAAAAAAAAAACTTTTTCCCTCTACTGTGAGTTTAATTAGGAAAAAAAATTCTATTTCTACTACAGAAACATACTGAAGCAATTTCATCTGCATTTATCTGGTGAAATAAGTGTTCAAGCATTGAAACACCATAGTACGTTAATGCAAAATTCCCTGTAAGATTATGAATGCTGTAATACTATCTAAACAAGTATGAAATTTTCATACATAAAACAGTACTAATATGGCAGCTACCAGCCATCTAAGGTTAAATTCAAGTTAAAAATTCAACCTTCTCAATCATATTAGCCCCATTTCAAGTGCTCAGTAACCACTTGTGGATACAGGATACTGATTAGCACTGATTTAGAACATTTCCATAAATTAGCACTGATTTATAACATTTCCATAACTTCAGAAAGTTTTACTGGATAGCACTACTCTGCAGTTTATTTTTTAAAAGAATAAGTTAAATGAGAAGAGTGAAACAGCATGAACTCCAAAAACACCCCAAGTATTAAGAGACTCAAGTGTGACAATAGCCATCAGAGAGACTTTGGATATATGACAACCAACATAACAAACTGCTTAATAAGAACAAAAGTTGAGGGTTGTTCCTCTCTGAATAATACAGTAAAGAAAATCCTCAGAGTACAAACTATTACATTTTTACCTGAGTCCTACTGAAGGGATATGTCAAGGGTCTATTTCTTTTCTTTTAGGAAATGTGAACCCTGCACCCTGGCAGGCTCAGTGCCTTGCTGCTTGATAATTGGTAAAAGGTGGGCCTTTTTATTACTTTAAAGTTGGTCCAGTTGTCATTTTGCACATCTCCACTCAAACCTACATAGAAACATTGAGCTAAACACATGCAGCATTCTTGCCCCATAAAGAAGCTTTTTGTCAAAGTCCGAGTCATACTTTTGCTTTTGTCTCATAAAGCAAGTAAAAGTGTTTTGGACACAGCTATTTCTTTAAAACAAGTACACTACAGCATGAGGTTTCTGTGAAAGGAAGATTAGTGAAAGAGAAAAGTAAAGAGAATGTTGTTTAATAGTCACTTGTTTCCATAGACAGAATTTGGAGAGTTCACATGCAGACATGTTTAAGATCAGGTAACAGATCAGCAGAAGAGATATTACTTCAAGGAAAAGATAATTTAGGGTTGAAGAAAGCTAGGTTATCATTAAAAAGTTACTTGAGTATAAATATTTCAATTTTATACAGCAAGGTATATATGAAGCCAGAAGAGAAAGACAATTAGGTTTTTAAATTAATTTTCTTCTTTGTGGAATCTGAAATTTTATATGTGAAGAAAATGTCAGGCTGATGGCAGTATTTTTGGAAAATACTGCCTTGAATTCTTTCTTTGTCTAGGTAAAGAAGAGCTGCAGGAAGGTGGTGCTAAGATGTTGTATGAAGAGTTCCAAAGAGTGAAGGAGCTGACGTGGCCGGGCCGGAGACTGGATTTAGACACAGCTCACATCTTCTGTCAGTGGCAGTCCTGTCTCCAGATGGGGATGTATCTCAACCAGCTGCTGTCCACTCCTCTCCCAGAGCCAGACCTAACTCGGTAAGCATCACGGGAAACTTTAGTTCAGATGGATACATACAAAAGTGAATATTCTTATTTATATCTAAAATAAAGAAGTTACTTTAAAAAGTTATTCTTAGTAGAATTGATCTTGGATCACATTTATCACTGAAGAGCTGGAAACAGGAAAAACATTGTTATTTTCATATTCCCAAAGCATGTTTTCATGATCAGATCCAATGAATAAAAATCACTGGGAAAGAGAGGCAGCTATTGGTAGAATAGAACTTATTCCCTTCAGGTGTTTATTACTTTATAGAAGCTACTTCTTATGACACTACTGAAATATTACTGTATCCCCAGTCACCCTAGTTTGTTATGAGACTTTTTAAATTGCATCTCTTACCACCTGTCATAATCTTTACTCATTCATTCCAGTATTTATTAACTGCCTACTTTGTGTTAAGGTTTCATAAACAACAAAAATCTCTGTTCTCGTGGAACTTTTATTCTTGTGAGATGATTATTAGATGTCATTTAGGGTTTGTGTCCTGCCAAATAATTATGAAGACAGGAGAGGCAGTGAGGGAGTTGAGCCTGTGTTCCTCAGAGTAGTATTATATTTGACTCTGGAGTTTTATGCTGGGTAAGAAGAAATGATAGCAGCAGGATTTGAGCCAGTGAAAAAACTATGATTAAGGGATTGGACATCTTTGTAATTACCCTTCTGGGAGGTGCTAGAGGAAGAAAGGAGGAGGAAAAGGTGATGGTTAGAAATGAGAGTATTTGAAATTGAATCTACAACATCCCCAACTCCTAACCAACATTTTTAAAATGAAAACAATGTATAAGTTCTATGAGGACAGGTATCCTGCACTTTGAGTGATAATTTAGGAGGTATACAAAATATGATGGTATAACTCTGAAGATGTTTCAAGATAAAAAGCTTCCTAGCAATAAATAAGTGTCCTTAAAATCTCTGGGCCTCATCTGAGCTAACCCAAAAACCCACTACCAAGTAAAATTAATTGGTTTTTGAACTTGGATTTTTTTATTCCTTTCCTTTAATAATTTAAGTCATTTCTTTACTGGATCCTCTCTAGCTACCACAGAACCCTATACAACAACAGGAAAAACAAGACCAACAGTTCTCTTAATAATGATTTCAGCAGGAGATTGTTTCTGCACCTCAGCATAATCAAGGCTTTATTTTAAATGATTTTACTCTGGTTAAATGTTGGTTCTACATTGGTTGATAAGGCACCAGTTGATCAACTCTAAGTCATATATTCAATTTGAGAGTTCAGTTAATCCGATCTTCTATTTGTGAAGTGGGATTTTAGTCCAAGTGAATGACCTTGCCAATTATGCCATTACAATTTTCAAGAATTTTAACAAACTGCCTGTGTGGCTTATCAAGATCATTTTAATTCCTTTTCTTTGAAGTGATAAAGAGGCCTATTTGGAGTTAGTTGCAAAACCAGTAATCATCATAATTTGTTAATAAAAAGTTTTTATATATCACCAGCCAGTAATTTTTTAATCACTAAGTTCTTTTCAACAAAGAACAAGATAATTCTGAAATTATTTTAATAATTTTAGAAAAACAATAAGAGCTCTCAGTGTCGATAGAAATTTATTGAAGCCATGTTAATCATACCTACTAACCTGATGCTTTACAACCATACTTTTTTTTTCCCACTGTACAGATTGTATAGTGGAAGCCTGGTGCATGGACTATGCCAACAACTGCTAACATCAGCCTCTGTAGAAAGTCTCCTGAGCATGTGTCCCGAGGCTAAGCAACTTTATGAACACCTGTTCAATGCCACAAAGTCATATGCTCCAGCTGAACTCTTCTTACCAAAGGGTAAATCAAATTCAAAAAAAAAAAGAAAGAAGAAAAAGGGTACCACCTGGTCAAAGAACAGAGTGGGAACTGCCTCAGATCCCCGATGCTTGTATGAGGGAAGCAATCGATTTGGGTTATTAATGGTTGAAAACTTGGAGGAACATACTGAAGCCACCAATATTGAATAAACTCAAGTCTACATATACTACATGTATAATTCTAACTTAAAATTTTGCTCTTACCTCCCTTGAAATAATTAGCTCTTTTCTTTAGAACTTAGGGGATAAACATGATGACACATAATTATTGGATTCTGACATTTTGTATTCTATTTTTAATAAAGATAACCTGATTTTAAGAAGCTTCTGATATCGCTTAAACACACTTATGAAAAAGCATATTTGTACTTCTCATGTTCCATTTCAGTAAGTTATAAATTTTAAAATTGCAACAGCACAGTTAGCTATATTTTCAAAGAGAAGTCCTACTTCAATTGATTACTAAAAATAGTAAGCTGGTAATCATTTCAAAAAATTTCTTTGTTTTTTATGTATGAAAAGTCTGAACTGTGAAAAACAGAAGTTAGATGCCAACAAAAGAAAATAAAAACTTAGTAGATGAGACCATGCAAGGCTGATAAGCGCTATAGATACACTTCAGATTTTAAAGTAGCAGTTGAAACTGTAATGGCGCCAGCTACAAAAACAGCATGCTGAGCTATTAGATATAGAGGAGGAAAAAACAATAAGAAATGAAAATAACACAAATATGTGCAGCAAAACAAGACGTTAGACCTTTTTTTGAGAAGTAGTTAATGAGTCATAACCAGTTGTTATTGGGTTTTTTATTTTTATTCCATCCTGGGCATCCAACCAAGGGCCTTACACACACTAGGCATGTGCTCTACAACATCCCCAACTCCTAACCAACATTTTTTAAATGAAAAAAATTAGTCTAGAAAATATCAGATACATATATTAAGTGGTTATGAAAAATTATTTTTTACTGTAATCAAAAAAGTTTGAAAGGCACCATTCTAGAAAATACTAGAGGCTGCTAACATTACAAATACCAACAGATATAAAAGTGCTGGCCAGTTCCAAATAAAGAACACAAAAGTAACAATAAACAAGTAGAATGATTCAATACATTTGGGCAAGATCTGAAAGTATTCCAACCTTCATCTGTTCACACAGCTGTGTTCTTCCTCTTCTTCCACTGGCATATTCTCCATCAGTAATCTAAAGATGTGTTCAACTGCCATTTTGAACAAGCCCATGCCCTATTCCTGATATCCAGTAAACAATTCTCTACACTTTCCTTGAAATACCACACCTCAGAGTAAGCCCAGCACCAGCCAATGTCATATGTACCTTGCAAGTGTTGACTGGTTTTAGCCATTTCAAAGGGTAAAGCAATGTCATTTGCATTTGGAGTGTTCAATGCTACTTCCATTTCAAGTGAGAGTTTTGAAATAAGGAAATATCTTTATCATTTTAGGAAGATTGCAGAGGGCTACTTAGGTTTTTATATCTCCAAAGAGATGTTTCTTTCTTAGAAAGATCAAGGAAAGAGCTTATCTGTTTTTATGAAGTGTGTTTTAACCACAAACAGTGGATCTAACAGGAACAATAATCATGTTATCCAAAATTCTCTCTTCCTTGATTCCTAGAGTTTGGGGCTGATCTAGAAATTATAATGTCCTATTTCCTGAATTATCAATACTTCTTTTGAAAATCAAACTACCCTGCATGGAAAACCATTTCCACTTTGGCAATTAACTTGTTTGGTAGGCAGCAAATTGAGCTACAGAGTTTAACTGAAAGTCAACTGAACTACATCAACTGTCTTTTCCCTTCACTTAATGGGTTCTCCTTTAGCAAAAAGAAGTCAGATTTCCTTCTCTAGCCATTGTAATCTGGGCTTTTTACTTGAAATTATGCCACCTTGCAGTAAAGGGGTTAAGAATCTAATGTCCAAGCCAGGCACAGTGGCACATGCCTGTAATCCCAGTGGCTCGGGAGGCTGAGGGAGGAGAATCTTGAGTTCAAAGCCAGCCTCAGCAATAGCCAGGCACTATGCAACTCAGTGAGACCCTGTCTCTAAATAAAATACAAAACAGGGCTGGGTTGTGGCTCAGTGATTGAGTGCCCCTGAGTTCAATCTCTGGTAC